GGGGGGGGGGGGGGGGGGGGCAATACAATGATTGTCTTGCAACTCAATTATCTTCATTCGAAAATTCAGTAGTGAAGAGGCAGAACAGTTCACGTCTATTTCAGTTCATCATCAGATTTTTGGAAGATAGAAAAGACTGACGAGTAGAAATAGTTCTGAATAACCATTTTACCTCTTTGCTACTGAATTATAAACATAATTATTATTCTGAGGATTTTTTAGCGTCCAAACATCGATTTACCTTTCTCGTCAATTATTTTTACATTCAACTGTACAATGGAACTATACAAACAATGTGTCCCGCTGAACGAAACATCTCTCAATCGCGTGTGAGGTTTGGGAATAATTCTTCTTCACGAGTCTTCACAGTGGCAAATGGACATTGCAGGCGGATATGAGTCCAAAAATTAAAGCGCAATGGATTTTTACTCTCAACTTTTATTCTTCTCAATTTCTTTATTCATTTACGTTTAAGTTGAACCCGTCGGGCTATTTTTCTCAGTATAAAAAGTCTTGTGACCTTCAAATTTTTTTTATTCATTTCCGCCAGTGGTACAAACGATTCTTGTCACTCGTATTCTCCCAACTTGGTCAATAAAAGAGAACAATTACGAGAAGAGTATAGAAAGACTAACGAAAACATATTGTATGACAAATTAAAGACGAATGTTTTTTTGTCCTCAGTTATTTTACTAGTAAATCAGGTACACGATTGTTTTTATTAATTTTCCTCGACAGAAGTAGAAAAAAGCATTGATTATTAATGATGTAAATGAAGACAAAACTCTCAATTAAATTGCTGTAAAAATAATCGTGTTTAATTAACTATTTCCTCATATCTTCATTCATCAATGTTATTTGTACAAAGTGTTCTTGTGTTTAAATTAAAAAAAATGTAACAGCTAATTCAATTCCATAAACACTGATAACGTAGATTGCAACATAATACACCGATAACAATTTTCCATCATACGGTGGAGAATAATCGAGTGGCTGTAATCTGTTGTACCAACATGACAAAATTATCCCTACATTAATTATTAATTTTTTTTAGTAAATTTTACGTGTAATGTACAATTTATTCTATACTTTTTGGACAATGTGCTACCGCGTACTTTACAATCTGTTAATTAATCATTTAATAACTGCAAAAATATGTTTCCACTATTCTAACCAGAATGAACCGACTGAAAATTGTCATAAATCAGTGAAAAAAGGGGCAAAAAAACCTAGAAATAAACATTTACACCATGTTACAGGACTCTAGTAACCAGTGTCCAAAAGTATAGGTCAAAGTATTCACGATGCTGAGGCGAGGCATGTAATGTGACAATGTACATCTCTTCGTAATGGAAACAAAAGAAAAAAATAACACAATTGATTAAACGCAGAGGCTCAGGCGAAAAAAGGAACCACTAAAACTGTCGTAATCACCTCACCATGAAGACCATCGACACCACTTACGCACATTGTTTCATTTTCTTTTTTTCTCTCTCTCTCTTTCTCTCTCTCATGAAAAATAAAGAGCAATCTATATTATATTACATTAAAAAATTTGTTTTTTTTTCTCAGTCATTTACATTAATGGGAAGTTTTGCATTTTTCTTGTCAAATCGACATGATAAATCACTTTCCTCAGGATTTTTGGAAATGAAAAATAACTGATCATGTCGATTACATAACGAGTGATTCATAATGTATTATTTTTTGTTTTAAAAAATTGTACGCAATTTTAATCCCTTTAAACATTGCAACATTAATGCAGTGCCTGATGAGGTCCACTGAGTCCAGCTCATGCAAGACCACGAGAGTAGATCGCCAGTTATTGGGCGGGTAACTAGCGTTCCTGCCCAACAAAGTGCATCACTTCAGGTATGCTTTGTAGAGGGTTGTACTTCTACACGTTTCTTTCTCCTGCTCGAGGAGGAACAGCAAATCCCTGAAGTTGACTCTTTTTAAACGTGGCCTCAGTGGCATCTGCCGGTTCATTCCGGTTGCCGAGGCTATCAGTCCACTGCCACTTGTACCTGAACTACTTCCTGTACCGGTACCGTCCAATTTTGGCTTCTTGCGGGGACCAATTGCCTGTAGTGCTGTTAGGTTCGCCTCACGCTGACGCAATTCCTCCATCTCTGCTCGTTGCATCTAAATTCAAGTTTATTGGGGTTTTTAATCGATTTTGGGATTCATTTCTCTTGGTTTTTTTTTGGTTTTGTATTGAGTTATTGAATTTTTTTATGGAGAGTTTACTTTCGATGAGTTTATGGGAGAATTTAAAGTTCTTTCAGCGATAATTTGTGAGCAATGAATTTTTCAGGTGAAAATAATATTCTTAAAAGGACAAACAAACCCGTTATTCCATTGTTAGATTGTTAGAATTTGTTAGCAGCAATTTTCAACACACTATTTTCAAATTTTTGTCAAATAATAGCTCCACTAAAGTTATAAAATCAATAAAACTGGAAATTTTCGTTCAACTATTCCATGAAAATTAATATAGAGAGATAGTTTCACAGTTTTCATTCATTTTTCCATAAAATTTGTTATTTTCAATAAATAAAGCAATTCTTCACTGACACGAATTAATATTCAAGCAAATCATTAAAAATACTCTTGACGTTTCATCCTTTTAACTCTTTCATTTTCTTTTCAAATGGTCCAACAGGGGAAAAATATTCTTCTGAAGAATAAGCCTCACCTCTTTGGCCTTTGCTTTTAATTTGGCCTGCTCAGGATCCTCCGTTCTAGCACGACTCTTAGCAGCACGAAGAAGTAACTCACGTTCTTGCTCTTCGTGCCTTCTGCGCTCTACCCTGTCGAGCTCCTCAAGGAATTTTAACTGGGCCCTGACATCCTGCGTTACTTCATATCTCGGATCAACCTGTAAGAATGAAAAAAAATGCAACCATTCAATCTAGACACATAAACAAATCAGGAATGAATAATCAACGAGCCAAAATATTCAGTTAATTCCCACCTTAATGAGATCTATCCTATGTTCGGCAATAACAGCTAATTTCTCCACCAAATTTTTTAATCTTTCCTGAGTTGCATGTGATATTAACGCGGCTACCTCCTGATTGGGCTCTTCCAATCCATAACTAGTTACTGAAAACGAAAGATCAAAGTTTGAGCTCAAAAACATTTAAATCGCCCTTTATCAACTTTATCCCCCTTTTGTAAATTAATTTACCAATTTGTTTAATCCTCTGTTGAAGGGGTGACACGTGAAGGAAAACCTCGTCTTTACACGATCGTATCTGCGTACCAACGAACTCCGTGGATCCAAGAATTCTCTGCGACTCTTCAGCGAGATTCACCCCTCCCATTGCTGCTACATCATTAATGTCATCATCTCCCCTAAAAGCAACCATTACTCGTCATTTTCACCCCCAAAATGATCGAAATGAATCCAAAAATCCTGCAATTAGTGTCTGAAAACACTCACGTGTAGCCTGCCGATGAAAAAGTCTTTTTTTCTTTCTCTTTGACCGCTGGTTTTGGTGTGAGAGAAGGCACAATGGTTTTGCTAACAGTAGTGGCGGTGTTGACAGTTTTACCTTGGGTAACAGGTGTCGTTGTTTTAACAACACTTGTCGTTGTTATTGGTGCTTTTTGTACAGTTGGAGTGGGTGGTCGTACACCCGTAACTGCCACCGTTGATTTAACGGGGTAAGGCGTAGGGCTGCGTACTATTGTCGTTACTGGTCGTATCTGAATTACAATTCAATCGATATTAGAATCTTTGGAAAGTTTGGATTAAGGTAGGCAGCAATTCGTGGGAGTCAAGGGGAGAGCAGTATGACTTTTGAGAACTATTGAAGTGAGATCTCTCCTTCTTTAAAGTGAAGTTGATGAAAATAACCCAGTGCTTTCTATTTTCGAGCTAAAGTGTTTTTTTATGAATTTTTCAACAAATGTGTAGAATAAACATTACGAATTACGTTTTTACAATTCTACCTCTAAATAGAGAATTTCGTTTTTGTTAAAAAATTCCACTTTTGATGCAAAATATCCAGCCAATGTATTCTCAAAATATTTATAATGTTTTTAAGTCGTTTCAGACAGCAAAAAAATCAAGAAATGAAAAAGCGAAATTGGCTACTTAAAGGTCGAAATTGGGAATAGTAATTTGTGATTTTTATTCTTCACATTTACTGAGAATTTTTGGAGAAGAAAAAACCTCTGAAGCTGAAAAATTAGGGACACTGGGCTATAATTAACATATTTAGCGGTTACGAGACAAACGAGGAATAAAGAATTTTTTTGCACTAATTTTTCGTTTTTGCATACATAATTGATCTTTAAAGTATGAGACGTCTCACTCCAACAGTCCACGCCTTTTAAAACTCATAAAAGTCTCCCCTGAATTGAAATTCTTGGGATAAATTACCAGTCTCTGTTGAACAGGTTGAGGTATCCGAGGGGCGGGAGTCGTCACGACTGCTGCTGGAAGTGGTGTCATTACTCTCAGGGGAGCTGGAGTACTTGTCATCACAACAGGAACTGATTGAGCCACTGCCACTGTCGGCCTTATCTGATTCTTTGGAATTGAATTTGAAGAAAATTCAGTTTTGAAGAATTTTATTATGGATGTATTTTGGTAATGAGGGGGTTTGATAATGAGGGACACTACTAAAGGAATTGTTATAGGGAATTTGTTTGGCTTCGACAAAGGCCTTCTCATATTCAATTATAAAGTCACTCGTTACCGAGATAAATGTATAATTCAGCAGTGAAGTTCTAACGCCTGAGTTTTGAGGATAAGTTTTTTTAAATAATTATGTCTGAATCTAAAGGAAATCGTGCTTTTGAATCGTACCTTTTTTGCATAGCAGGAGGAGAGCTACAAAGAAGAATTAAATAGTAATTTCGAATCCTTTCAATTTCGAGATATTTGACGAAATGTGAGTGTATTAATCTCGTTTTGTAATTCAAAGGCAAACCTTCCATTCGAGCCTCATTTGACGCTAGGGTAGCGAAAAATTTGCAATGATTTTATTATTGAAACTTTGGAACTATAGATTTGATTCTTACAAATAAAAAAATAATTGGCAGTTCACTTATTCAAAGAACAAATGAATTAAATAATTGGAAATTGAAATTTCCTAAGATTACTCTCTCCATCAATAATTTATAAACAGTGAATCTTGCTATTCTCGAAAATATTATATTTGCGAAAGTTCAAACAATCCCATTCTTTCTCCCTACATTCCTGAAATTTTCAATACAATCTTCGGAAATTCTTATAAAGTAACTGTTCCACTGAAATTTCAAGGAATCCCGTCAGTAAAAATTCACTATTTGATGAAGAAATCAACGCAAACTGAAAATTTCAATTAAAAAATCACGAGAATTAAGGTAATTCAATAAATTAAAAGTTTAGCCTGCTTTAGTATTAAATATTCATGTTTTGATAGAAAATTCAAGCAATTGGCCAAATTCTCGTCCTCCTGTCGCTCAAAAATTTGAAATTCCATTGAATTTTCAGTGAACTTTGAAATTTCATTATCTTTCCCTCCGTAAATAGAATCCTAACTCTCCAAATTTCGATGTTTTTCTAGCAGTGTACGAAAAAAAATATCTGTTAAACGTAATTTCTCATAAAAATGTAATCTGAGGAACGCTGATCATCCCTGATGTTCCAATTATTATTCTCACATAATTTAATCTACAAATTTTATGTTGATGTATAGTTTACCTGTTGCTGCACTTGAGGCACTGCCGTTGCTACAGAAAACACAACATTTGGAGGTGGTGGTCTTATTCCCTCGATGACCAATTCCTTCGTAACTAGTGACTGCCTCAGCAATGGCAAACTTTTCTTGAGAAAACCAATGAGACATGGTTGTGGCGATGCATTCAACAATTTCTCGAGTCTATCACAAAACTCCTCGGGTTCAACTCTAGTATCAATTAACTCTTGTATCAACGTCCGCACATTACGTTCCACTTGCTTAGGTTCCCGACTAGACAACTCTAACAAGTTTGCTAAGAATTTACGACACTTTTCTTTGGTATTATCTGTGGTTTGACGCTGTGAAGAAAACAATCGAGATGGTTAATCGTGGGGTCGACTATTGGGGATGGATGGACTTGGGAATATGGAGCTGATAGTTACTTTTACCTGTGCGGGAGTTTGGGGGGTTTGAGCGGTTGTTGTGGGGGGTGTGACTGTCGTTGGAGCTGCTGCTGTTACTGTGGCTGGTGTTACTGTTGTGGTAGTTACTATTGGAGCTACCGTCTATTAAAAAAAAACATTGAATTGATATTTGCGAGTTAATTTAGAGGTGTGATCTCCTTGGAGAACACAAAATTCTTGCAAAGTAATTGTATTTCTCCTTGGAAGAGGCAAAATAAACAATTTTTAATGCATGAAAAGAATGACGTGAGCTGAAGTACCGAATGATATTCCTTTGATTATCAAAGGGACAACATTCTGATGAGAAAATAAAGAAATCAGGAAAAAATAATTTCACTTTTGAAGATTCAATTCATCAAATATCTCAATGATTTATATCAAATCATTCACTTGCGTATGATTTCAAGCAAAATAATTTTGTCATCGTGTCTAGGAGAAATGAAAACATAATTTTGACTGCATCAGCCGAAAGCAGAAGATAATCGAGCAATAATTTCGTGTTCCAACATCCAATTTACCTGATCTCTCGATATTTTTGATAATTCAATTGTGGATGATTTTACTGTTGTACTGAAACATTATCTTTCATTTCTAGAATGAGTTCTTTATTTTTTATGAAAAAATGGACTCTCGATGTGACAACAAAACGTCAGACGCACTCACATCGTAAGACCCAATTTAATGTGATTCCGATAAATTTTGAATGATAATTATCGCGTGAAATAAGCTGTATTACTCCCGAAAGCCTGAACCACTGCTTCAGCACCTAATCGACCAACTATTCTCCAGGAAAATGAAAAAATAACAGGAATTACTAAAGTACTCAAACCTCATGCAGTCTAATTTTTCCAGCAACCTTCCTCAGAGTCTATCTCCCAGAATATATCCACTACCATGCAGGGACTAAATGCAATCTAAAGATCCAGAGCATCTAAAGATCCAATTGCTCTGAATTGAAACAAAATCCTCAATGAATCTTACCGACATTCCAAAGAAACTAAACGTCAACAAAAAATAAACTGTAAAAAAACCATGAAGAGAATCTACTGCGAGCACTACATTGAGTCTGAACGATTTGGTATGAGAGTGCGTCACCTGAACGGGTTTTCTTATGGTGGCGAGTGGTGGGCCAGTGAACTGTGCGTTCAGCCTACTTACAGCCGGTACCGAGGCAAGACGATAAGTTGTTCCAGCTGTTGGGCCAACAACAGCATTCCCGCCAATACTGTTAGCTGTGACAGCACCACCACCAGGGGTTCCAGTTGTCGGCGCTGGTCCCACCCTGAGCAGTTGATATTGTCCATTCTCAGTTTTGACGATGAGATGGCCTTGAGCACCAGGAGCAAGGCCCTGAAGGGCTTGAAGTGTAATCTACAATAAAATTAAAATTAATTTCATTTTAATCAATGATTTCATCCACTTGACTAAATTACTGGACAAAAAATTGAAATTTCGTGGATTGTTGCCTCACAATTTTTAGGGGAAACAAGTCTGAAACTTGAAGAACACAAAAATACAGTCAAGAATTTTTAACAGTGTGTTCATCAAAACATGAAGCTTTGTGCTAAATTCATCGATATTCCACCCCTTCATGAATAAAATAGTTCCGCGACCCCAGGGGCAAGACCCTAAAGGGTTTAAAGTGTAATCTGCAGTGAAATTAGTTTTCTTTCAACTGCTGATTTCATTAATTTGACTAAATTGTCCGAAAAAAATATAAATTTCACGGATTGTAGCCTCATAATTTTTCAAAGAATGACATTTAATTCCATTCAGGGATAAAAAAATTCTGAAACTTCAATTTTTCTTCACAAAGAATATCAATCCCTCAAAAATCCAAGAGCCCAAAAACGCAGTCAAGAACCTGTAAAAGTGTATTCATCAAAACCCGAAGCTTCATGCTATTAATTCATCGATATTCCACCCCTCAATGAATAAAATAGTTCCACGACCCCATTACTCAAAAAAAAGGCAAACACTCACCCCAGGAGCGCCAGGTCTCGTGCCAACAATGTGCGGTCCAATGACAACCCTATTGGCAACCTGTTTCCCAGGCTGTTGTCCCGATACGGGTGTACCAGGCCTCATAGCATTGACATTGACAATCTGCACATTACTGGGTACAATAGTGGATCCAACCTGTTTACCCTGTAACGTTGTACCAGCAGTATTGCCAGTAACTGATACTGGTACTGACATTGGTACTGACACCATACCCCCCTGTGCACCACTAGTTTTAATAACCAAAGCTGTACCAGTTGTCTTATTAACCCCCGCCACAGTCTGTCCACCAACAGTCTGGGTCACAGTGCCCACAACATTGCTAACAACATTCGAAGTTGTCTGTAAAACAGCTGTCTGTGCAACACCAATTGTTCCATTAGCCAATTGTCCAGGAAATGTTATCTTGTTATTAACAACACCAGTTGTTGCTATCACTTGTCCCGATGCTGGATACGATATTATCTTGACAGACTCGTGTGTCTTACTCAAACTCTGTATATTACTCTGATTTGTTGTCACCTGATTACTCGTAACTTGATTGATGTAGCCAGACAATTGTCCATGTACGTGTGCCTGAGTTGTCACCACAACCTGCTGATGATGCTGTTGGTGGTGCTGCTGTTGCTGCTGCTGCACCTGATTCTGCTGTGCTGTATGCGGTAATCCTGCATTAGTTGTGACAGCATCAACCGGCATAAGTGTTGCTGTTGCTATTGACTTTGTTACTTCCTGTGTCATTAGGCTATTCACTGATGTTGTACCACCACCATTGGCAACCCCATGTTTCTGTACACCAGGAATACTACCACCATTTGATATACCACTGGCTATTTGATTATTGTGTTGGCTCACAACAACTGTTGTTGGCTGTTGTACTGTTATACCAGGCGTTGATGTTACCAACTGCGTCTCGAGTGAACCAACAATTGCATTAACAGCGGATTCATCAACGTCCGTGCTCAGAGCTTCCTCAAGAAACTTAGCTGACGCCATTTTCTTCCAAGCTCCAACTGTTAACTGTTTTGCGCAGGCGCGATGTGAAAATACTACCCATCGTGCATTGGTATTATCCCCACCATTTGTACGTTTAGTGTATGGCTTTTTTACACTGTGCACTAACACCACTTTCCAGGTACTGTTACCCCCCACTTTACCACAATTTTCCTCGAAATTCAGTCGTTATGGGGATTAATGGAACAGGGGGGGACATTTCTCGGGGGACGCCAGAGGCACCGAGTGATTATTCCTGGGTACAGAGGGCTTTTTAATATTTTTATCGCAATTCTGGGGGTTTGTTTATGTCGGGGGAAGGGGCTTTTCGGCTTGGTGCCTCGTGCACTTGTGTGCGGCTCGCGAAAACGCGCTAGAAATAATTCACCCCCCACCAACTGGCGGTTGTCTCCTTCAACCGCCCCTCCGGGGGGGTTATATGGCTGTCAATACACGAAGACAACACGTCACCCCGCCAAAACTACACGACGAGGAATTTCGGGGGAGCGACTGCACTCGTGGGGTTCACTGTTCTTTTTTACTCGGAGTTATGCTTTTTGGCGGCTTCGGGGGAATTTCCGGGGGGTTACGAAGCTTGGAACTCGGTTGATTTGATACTTTTGGAGTTGTTGGGGTTCGGAAAGACGCTGATGTGTGGCGGTTTACACTTTTGCCGCGCGTGATCTCAAACGCATGGTTTTTCGGCTCCGACCAATCGCCGAACGTCTTGGGGAGGGGCTTTAGGTTCTGGGGAGTTTTCCGGGGGGCTAGGGGATTGTGGGGAATTTGACAGGGCTAGTGACTTCCGGCTGTTGGAGGAATTAACCTTTTCGACGGTTATTTCTTTGGAGACGGTAGGGCTCGTTGATAAAATCCGATTATTTTCGTGTCATCTTGGCTTTATTGATGGGATAATTGTTGGAATATTGAGGGGAAATGTTTGGGGAACACGTTGGGGGGAATATTTTTTGGAAATTGTGGGGTTTGAGGGTTTTTTGGGGGTTGGAGGGTCTTACGGTGACACGACTTGCAATGGGGTAAACATGGCGTGGAGGTGGATTGTTTATTCGGATTTTGTTGCAGGCTCTCCAGTAAGTTGTCAAGATGGCGATCCGCCCGGTTTACAGGCCCAATATTGTTAAGAAGAGGACGAAGAAGTTTATCAGACATCAGAGCGATCGTTATGACAAACTCAAGGTGAGTTCTAACCTCTTTGGTGGGTGACAACAACCACATTGTTTTTTCTGGGGCTGAACATCTTTGATGTTCAGGTTTGCTTTAATTCGAATTGTTGAATTGAGGGGTTTGGGGTTTATTCGTTGAATTCTGGAGGGTTGTCCGATGTTCGTTGACACGTTTCTCGATTTGATAGAAAAATAATAGGATTAGAAGAGTTATGAGTACATGAAAGCTTTGTTAATTGTAAATTCATCTCTAGAATGAGTGCTTTTAAGATGATATGTTCAGAGATTTGCTTTTGTAGCTAAAAAATTTATCATTTGAAACGTCTTTTGGTAATTTTGCTTCTATAATCAGTTACTACTGAGATAATTCCATAATTTGACGAGTAAATGCAGTTGAATTGGGAATTTATCTCTAGAATGAGTCTTTTAGCATGAAATGTTGAAAGATCTTCTTTTAGAGCTGTAAAAATTGATCGTTGCAAACGTTTCTTGGCAATATTGCTCCTATAATCAGTTATTACTTCGATAATTTCATAACTCGATGAATATATGTAATTGAATTGTAAATTTGTCTCTAAAATGAATGGTTTGACGACTAAATGTTAAAAGATCTTCCTTTGGAGCTGAAAAAATTGATCATTGGAAACGTCTGTTGGTAATTTTACTCCTAAAATCAATCATTACTGAGATATTTGCATAATTAGACTATTACGTCAGTCGATTTCTCTAATTTAATTATGAGACAAGTGTCGAATTGTTTAATAATAAACAAAAAATTGATTTTCAGAGGAACTGGCGTAAACCCAAGGGTATTGACAACAGAGTTCGCAGGCGTTTCAAGGGACAGTACTTGATGCCCAACATTGGTTACGGAAGCAACAAGAAGACCAGACACATGCTCCCCACTGGATTCCGCAAGGTCCTCGTACACAATGTCAAGGTATTTATTATAATCTGTGTCACTTCCTCCAACAAAATCAATTAAAACCCTTTTCAAAATTTTTTTACTCTTCCCTTTATTGCTTCCAAAATTTATTGATTACAATTCATTATTAATATATTTGATTCTTCAGGAACTCGAAGTCCTCATGATGCAGAACCGCAAATTCTGCGCTGAAATTGCCCACGCTGTCAGCAGTAAGAAACGCAAGGCGATCGTCGAACGTGCCCAGCAGCTTTCAATCCGTGTGACGAATGCTAATGCACGTCTGCGGTCTGAGGAGAACGAATAAGCTACTGGTATTTGTACTATACGTCTAATAAAACTCAAAAAACCTGAAAACTCAGAATCTTTTTAATTTTACCTGAAAAGTTGATGACTTTTTTTCCAATCCTTCACAAGCCTCAATTCTTTTTTTTTGAATCGTCGTATTCATCTCCATTTCGACGAATTATGTTGAGAATAATGAGAAATTGGAGAAATAAATAAACTAGTAAATTAAGGAGCGTGTAAATTACGTTGGTAAATTACACCTTTTTTTACCGACGTAATTTGCGTAAATTACCTAGACGGAGTTTTTATACTTTTTACATTACTTCGCAAAGCTTACATTTTTCCGTTGTTAGAATGTTATTTTATTCCGACTGCCGAAGGCGCAGTACTGGACCGCAGTTCCCAGCATAAATAAACCGCGAATTTTAATTGGCTGTGACTATTCGCAACATTGCGTGAATCACTCCCGTACACTCCATACACTCCGTGCATGCGTGAAGTTTGTGTGTTTCACGCAGCCGAATTTTCTTACTGCTGTGTATTTCACGCAGTTGTATTTTTATACGCCTGTGTATTTCACGCAGTTTCATTTTTATACACCTGTGTGTTTCACGCAGTTTCATTTTTATACACCTGTGTGTTTTATACACCTGTGTGCAAACTTCACGCATGCGTGGAGTGTATGGAGTGTACGGGAGTGGCTCACGCAATGGTGCGAATAGTCACGGCCATGTTTTTTTTGGGTCAAATGAAAGAGCGGCTCGAAAAATGGCGTGCAGAAGTCTTTAAAGATGACAATTGTCTCTAAAGATGATGTCTGTTTTCAATTGAAAAGCGCAATTGTGACAACATTGTCCAGTGGGGTCTAGGAGTCTCCCCTGGTTCAAAACCATCTTTAGAGGCCCT